CATATGTTCGGTTGGCAGGGCGTGATCTTCTGCTCGTGAGTGTCACCTCTTCGTTGGGCGGTTTCGTACAATTATCCACGTTAACACCTGCGTGCGACAGGCACTCCGATGTGGGACGATTTCTGCGCCGCGATCGACCAGGCCGGCTTAATATTGCAGAAGTGTCCTAGCTTTTCTGTCAATCTTTCAGACCGAGTGCACTGGTGTGCGTGCACATGCATCTCGACTAGCTGTATTTCGGTGCAGCTTTTGCGGCTTCGAGTGTGTATGCTCTACAGTGTCGCTCGGGATGGCTTCACTTGCCGAAAGCTTGGAACAGGTTCGCATGGTTCGCAAGCGGTTTCGCATCGGAGCCCCATGGATCCATACTCCGAAGACCGATGAAGGTGACGAATGCCTTCAGTGTGTTCGTGGTTTGAAAGCGAACTACAGCATCATTCTCACGATGGTGCATCATTTCAAGCAGGGCAAGGTTCTCATAGACCCTTTGCAGGCAGAGGCACCTCGATCGGCAATCAAAAGCCCGCTGAAACAGCTAGCGCAAGCTTTCCATGTTTAAGCTGTTATGTTGGCTGAACTAACGGGGGCCACTCTAGGTACGAAAGCTTTTCCACGATGTCGGCTATGTGCCAGACCCGGTCCTTAAGCGGGATTATCTTGATGCCTGGTCCCTTAGAAGCTTGTACGGCTTTGCGTGGCGACGCTACATGGACTGCCACCGCCGTGAGCAGACTCCCAGAGATCCTATGCTGTTGTAGCACGGGGTTAGATATTTATTGCTGATTATAACTGCGACGTCAAAGTTGGGGTTTCTATACAGGTGTTATCTTAGCTTAGGCCGTTTCTAGGTTGTGAAGCTCTATGGGGAGCTACTGTAACAGCCCTCCTACCCCCACATACGCAAGCACCCACACAAAACTCAAGCATATACTTAGGATTGGGAAGTACGACAAATTTTCCGAGAAATGGCTCGCCTGAAGGGCCATCCCTTTCCAGAGGAGGACGAACTCGACGCTGATGATGAGGATGAGTGTGATGAAGAACAGGAGGAGGAAGATGCAGAGGAAGATGCCGAAGAAGAGGACGAGGAACAGGAGGAGGATATTGACGGGGAGGAATATGGGCATGAAGGGGAGAACAAGGGTGACGAGGAGATGGATGATAATGATGAAGTCGAGGTGCTTTCGGCGCATCCCGGCTTTTCGGGCCCCACTCCAGCTGAGCTGCACCATGCAATCCGCAGCAGTCCCACAGCGGCATCTTCAGGGTTGGATGACAAACGGCGGGAACTCTATGAGAAGATGTATATGATCAAAGAATTGGAGAACGAATTGGGTATTCAGCACTTTGGGTGGCACTCATTATTTTTGAATTCCCATCATTCGAAAATATAGCCCTAGAGCCCCGAATAGCACTACATACCGGAATCACCACGCCCAGGCGAGGCTCCGACCCGGTGAAATCCAAGAGGGTCTCCGAGCCAGTTGTCGCAGCAGCTGGGGGTTCCCCTGAGGGTTTCAGCTATAGTTTTTTGCACGAGTATTATAAGGTTTAAGATTTTGAATTTCGAGACACCGGTTTGCTAATCTCCTAGTCCTTATAAATATCATGGGCCCGTCGTACACCGTAAGGAGCTACACCGATCCCGATAGAGGACAGCCCGCCCCAGAAGCCACGTCGCTCCAGCACCTTCAAGCATCCCGACCATCAGGACGCAGAGCTCTTGATCGTAGCTCAAATGACTCGCGGCCCAATGTCGATGTTAAAGTTTGAATACTTTAGAGGATGGGGAATTACGATAGCAAGTGTTTAGCAGTATAGGTTAAGGCAGAAGCGAGTGGAACAGGAATCGACAGGGTCCTAGAAAGTACAATAAAGGATGTAAGGCATATATACATATGTGGTTGTAGAGATGTACGTAGACACCTTTTCAATGAGTAGATAATGGCCGGGTAGATAGACAGCTACAGATAGACAGGCAGCCGGACCGCCAGGTGTTTCACACATATGGGTCAGTCAAACTCGATCTATGTGTTTATACCTACCCGCCTATATCATCCTATATCTATCTACTCATCTATCTACCTATGTACCTCCATTAAGTCCCAGATAGCTTTTCCTACTTGATTGCCTCTTCTTACACTTACTTCCGCACTTATCTACCTATACCTATACCTATAATACCTACCTATACCTACCTACCTACCATAGTAGCTATACCTATATTATACCTACCTACCTAGCTACCAATAAATCTGTCCACCCATAGGCTATGTAGCTATATCCATCCATGTGCCCGTGTATGCCTCGATCCATCTGTTAGTCTATCCAGTTCCCAGGCACGTATCCGCCTATCTACCGTTCTACCCATCTAACTGCACACTTATGAAGCTAAATGTGCATGTGTGTAGATAGACATTTATATATATATATATATATATATACACACCCACATACGATAGGTTACTAATCCAAGTACAGGAACGGTTCAACATACAAAGGAACGGGTCAACATACAAACTTGTGTATGCTTATATATATATACACATACATACATATGTAGACATGCACACGCATTCATACACACAATTACGTGTATATATATACCTACATAGTCAAATGTAGTCAAATGGCAGGTCATGCAGTATGTGAATGCACTAGCTGGGTGTTTGTGTTTATACGTGCATGCACACTTGAACATCTATTAGCCTAAGATAATGATATATTCTTAACTCAGACTTCGGCAGCATGAGCAGGACACCCAAACGTATGATGCCGCTGAGATTCTGTGCGGGCTGCCGTCTTCCAAATCCAAGGGCATCCTGGAGACTCCTCCGGCCGGGAAGAATGCTTCTGAGATCGATGATACCCCTCCACCCAAAGCAAAGAATGTGCCAGAGATCACCCCGCCCAAGGCCAAAGGTTTCAACACCCCTAAATCCTAATCCCTGAAACCCTAAAATTGCCTTACTGATTCTGTGTATTCCGTGGATGCATGGATATAATATGCAGGTGGATCCATCGGCAGTGACGCCGGACATGCAGGCGAAGCTCAGGGACTCCCTGAAAGGCCCCAAGAAGAAGTTGCGTCTTGAGAATGATGAGCCGGCAGATGCTGTGCCGACGGGGAAGAAAACGAAGAAGAACAAGAAGGCGAATGATGAGTCGGCAAATGCTGAGTCGGCGGGAAAGAAAACGAAGAAAAAGGCAAATGATGAGCCGGCACATGCTGAGCCGGCGGGGAAGAAAACGAAGAAGAAGAAGGCGAATGATGAGTCGGCAGATGCTGAGCCGGGAAAGAAAACGAAGAAGAAGGCGAATGATGAGTCGGCAAATGAGCCGGCGGGAAAGAAAACGAAGAAGAAGGCGAATGATGAGCCGGCAGATGTTGAGCCGGGAAAGAAAACGAAGAAGAAAGCTGCTGCGGCAGCCGACGGTCCAGATGAGGCTCCTATGCCGGTGAAGCGTGGCAGGGCCACGTCCAACCTGACGGTTAATGATGATGTCGCTACCAGTGTCAAGAAAGCCAAAGGTTCGAAGAACCCACGTGCTGAGACGACAAATGCCGAGGAAAGCGGCCACAAGCGCACGCCTCGAACATGTGTTCCCACCCGCCCCCCCTCTCCTCCTGCCCACGGAGGCTGTAGCAAGTGTCGCCATAGGCGCAACGGTTGCAGAAAGTGTAACCCTGCTCACTTTGCGGACCGGTAGGCCAGGCTACCCCTGCAGGTGGGCATGCATACGTGAAAGATTCGGATTGAGAGCTGTATGACAAATTCAGCTATCGTACACATTAATACCGTTTGTTGCGAGGGTCCCAATCCGACCACACTCATAGGCATATGCTTTGCGCACTCGGTGCATTTTGGGAAGCATGCATGGGAAACCCTGTGCATGCCGGGGACACAGCCTTTCATGACCGAGCCCCTTGTGCACACATGCATATACACAAATGTGCATGCTCCAGATTTACACACTAGTTTGATTTACGGTACGCAACATGCACATGCATGCATGCTTTGCAACACGAACATATCTGTTCGCAGAGATATATATATATATGCTAACCCCTAGCTATACGCCAAACCCTAAGCCCTAAACCCTAAACCGCCTACGCACTAGCAACACAAGGTCATGGAAAAGGCAATTAACAGAGTGCGAAGCATAGTGCAGGAGCTGCGGGTCGACCCTTGAGTGCAGCAAGAAATCAGAAAGAAAATCGATCTTGCCCTTTGCGAGTCTAGATCGGATCGATGGGTGTACTGCAATATCCACGATTGATTGTGTCTGTGTGTGTACCGGCCACCTGGCCAGGTGGCATCATGAGCAAGGCCTGGAAACTCCGCAAAGGTTTCGTGAAGATTCGTGCGCCCTTCCGGTTGTCGGCTGTGTCAGGGCTGAGGGGAGCAGCCAATGCATACACACAGGAAGTTCAGCACTACATGTGCTCCGCAGCTTTTGATCCTAGAGGCAGTGCACCTTGAAGTTAGAGCAGTCATTGAATATGGCAATGGCATGGGGCCGACTTCAGTATATACTGCACCATCTCATGAGAGTTGGTGCGCCTGGTGTGCCTAGACTGCCTTAACTATTAACTTACAGTAGCTGCCTGAAGCTGTAGCACAAGTTAAAATGCACGGATTCTTCAGGTTCTGCTGCTGGCTGTCCTACTGTTGGGCCAAACTCAGAACGTAGACCTGACTCAGGACTGACTTCCGGGAAAGTGAGGGCTTGCAATCGTTTCCAGGGATACATGCTGAGTTTTCCGGGCTTAGGAGTTCGACGCCCTTGAAGTCTGCGCCGGGGCTGGAAGATTGACCCGAATTCTTCGTTATGCTGGAAAGTCGGTTGCCAGCTTGGACATAAAATACTGGGACGAACGTCCCAGCTGGGTACCTCCCTGCACCTCTAACCCCTACGACATGTTGACCCCCAGCGGCATGGCGATTCTCAGTTGCACCTATTTACACACTGCTGCTGGGTTTATGTGCATGCCTCGAACCCAAACGCCATCCCAACGCCTGCTTCCCAGGCTGCTCCTTGTCTGCATACTGAAGATGAAGGCCCGATCCGTTGCCCACTTCGGCCTCCAATGCAGCAGCTGGACTGTCATGTCGAGGGGCTGTACGAAGCGGAGTTATTTAGTCCCACATGGTGATGAAAGTATCCCTTCGGTTGCAGATGGAAACAAGATGGTCGCCCGGTGCTACAGCAGCAATATAGCCAGTGTTCGAAAGACCCTGTGAGCCCCTAACTTAGACCCAATAATTAAACTCTGACCCTCGAGATGTGCACGCAACATATACACGTCGTGCTACATATACATGCGTGTGGTAGAGCCTGCTAGTGATCTCTGAGGTTTTGCCTCCTTGCACACCTGATGTCGGCACTGAGAATTACGTGGACGCTAGAACAACCGTCCCAGTCGATCATGTCGCGACACAAACGCTTTCGCCAACTGTGCCAATGTCTGGTTGCCACTTGGATTGCGGGATCGTATCGTTGCTTCTAGTGGTGCACACGGCTTTCAGTTAAGGTACGCAAGGTTGGGTTTTGGATGCGCAAGTGGGGGGGGCCTACCCCCAAACGTACCGTCATCTACTCCAACGACGCTTCGGTGGTGGGATTTGATGCTGGGCCCCTGACAAAGAGGCAACGTGCGAATTGCAGGCAGCTGGTCAGGCGGACAATCGGCAAGAACGGCCGCAAATGCTTTACGGGCAACAAGCGATTGAAAGGTTCGGAGTTTCTTAGCTTCATTCGATTGAAACATACTTTCACTTCTCTGTCTCTCTCTCTCTCTATCCCTCACTCTCTCGATCTTTTTTTTTTTTCTCGCTCTCTCTCTCTCTCTCTCTGTCACGCCCCTCTCTCTCTCTCTCTCTCTCTCTCTCTCTCTCTCTGAGTGTTTATTTGGGTCACCTAAATTTTAGGTGACCGACTCTGAGTGTTTATTTGGGTCACCTAAATTTTAGGTGACCGATGCTTACCCGTTTGTCTGGAGAGTTTCGCTCTGTCGAGCATCCAAGGCAGTACCCGCTCGGCTTTGCCCTCCAGTTCCTAACGCTCTTTGAGGCCCTGTCCCATAACGATGAGCGCAGGAAGGTTGATTTCTACGATACTTGGATTGCACATGTGTGTATACATGTATATATATATATATATATATATTTATCCATCCATTCCTGCCCAGGTACCCGATCCTTTTCGAATCGATATGGATGCGCTATCTGCCGGCTTGGATATGACGGATATCTGGATTGATGCCGACATGGGCCCTGTCTTGCATTATTTGCGATCCAATAGGAACCTGTCATTGCCCCCGTCCTGGCGACAAAAGCTACGTGAACAATGTGGCCTTTGAGCCGCAGCCTGCTAGCCTATCGTAGGCAGTTGTGCACAATTCACGATCGACCTGTGGGGGTGCAGCAACTGCACACGTGCAGCTCGTATACTTGCTCCTCTAAGCGATGTGGATCTATCGATCTAATTTAACGATAGTATATATCTATATCTATATCTATATCATTTAAATCTACATACCACCGACATCCCCTATCGCTGTATCCAGACCCTTTGTGTCAGCCTGAACAAGCACCAGCAGCAGTAGGGGAGCGAATGTTGATAGCAAGTGTACTTGCAAGTGTGCTTTGGCCACCTATGCCTGTGCCATCCTGTGCCGTGATGGGATCATGGGTTTCGTAAAATAGTGTGCCAGCTTGACTTGCGCACTCGCGCTTTTTGTGCCACTTTGTGCGGTTTCGCGCCGGCATTATAGCTATTATTGCGTTTTAAGCCAAAACAGCGGTGGCGTAAAATCCCGTAAAGTGGCGTAAAATCGAAGCAAAGTGGCGTAAAATCCCGTAGGCCGTTTTGCGCTGCTTTTGTGTTGCGCCGATGCTTGTATGATCGATCGCACACGCATCTTTATCTTTGTGTAGTGCCATTAACAATGCCCAAGCCCCGCCCAGCGCTTTCCAATTTGTGGAGCTGTGCTTCGTTGAACGCTGGCCTAGACTTTGTTGTGGGAACAGCTATGGCGCCCAAAGTCAAGACAGAGCCTTCAAGCCTTGATTCCGAGCTAGCAGAACTTCGGCTGCATGTATGATATCCCACGCATATATATATATATATATATATATATGCACATCCATACCATGCTGCGATACCTGCATTGCATGCGCTATGTGAGGACGCGGAACAAAGGCTCGCTCATCTGCGATCTATGAAAGCCAAAGCCCAGACTGACGTGCCAAGCCCTTCAGTGCCAACCCCGGCCCCAATGGTTGAACCTGTCAGCACAGGCGCAGCCGAGCCCACTCCCATGGTTGAACCTGTCAGCACAGGCGCAGCCGAGCCCACTCCCATGGTTGAACCTGTCAGCACAGGCCCAACCGAGCCCACTCCCAATGTAGAACGGCCAGCAACCGAAGCCACCGAAACCGGTGAACCAGTATTGCAAAGCCCGGCCAAGCCAACAGCATGTACAGCCGAAGCTCATGAACTCCCCGGCCAAGATAGTTGCTTGACCGACACAGTGCCTGATGAAGATCCGTATATGACACCATTGGGGCCTTGGGATCCCGTGGAGCCCTCGAAGATTGTAACAGATCCGGCCCCGGCTGCTCGGCCGATTGCCACCCCTCTACGATCTTTCGAGGCGCTTCGATCTTCCCAGGATGCCCAGGTTGTACGGTCACCGCCCGAATCCCCAACCCCAGAGCCCCAGCATCCGGATGCTCAGCACGATGAGTACATGAGTGACTTCGAAATAGAATCTTGATAGCATTAGACCACAACAACTATTATAAAAAAACCGACCCCAACCCATGTGCACAAACCAGCAGCCAAGGATGATGATGGCTTGAAGGCCGCCTTCGAAGCCCTCCAGGCCGTGAAGTCCGAGCCCCCGCAGACGCAGCAGATCGCAACTCCTCGGGCCGAGGCGCAATCTGTCAGAAGCCTCATGCCCCGCTTCAATAATGATCGTCTTTGTACGTGCGCACTGCTATATCAATCTCGCTATAATTATAAAACCCTTTGAGGCTGCAAAGCCAGTGCCTACTTCCACGGAAGAGACCACTGCCCTGGATCCGGAGCCCTGCCGCGAATTCTTAAAGCTCAATCCCTCGTGCGTAAAGCCCAATCCCAAACTCCTACAAAATCAAATAACATAGTGCGGCCGAGGACGGGGAAGCCCCGCCAGAGAAGGAGAAGCCGCCGCAATCGGCGAACGCACGGGAACCTCGGCTTATACTATTGTAATCCTAAACCGCAAACCCCCAAACCCTAAACCCTAACCCGATGTAGTTGTCTATTCTAAGGATTGTGACGATGACGACGATAGCGAGCCGGAGGAGGCTGCCAAGCCCCCGGTTGAACAGGACTCGATGTTTCTTCAAATCCTATAGTAGGGTTGCTTGGGGCTCGGGGTATCAGGTCATTTGGCCTAGGATTACTTAGTTTCATTCTCGGTGGTAAACTTATCACAGGATCCGTTCTACATATATATATATATATAGATGATCTCGTTGTACATCTCTTGCTTTGAGCCCATCTTGGAAAGAGCCTACTGAAACAACAGTTTGGTGTGACTGTAGCCTATATAGCTAAAATCCCTACCAAATATATTTAGGTTCCAACCCAACTATTAATGTCACCCCATATTCCCGGACTTAAATGAGGAAGGATCCCGAAAGCTCACTCCCCACCACGCCCCGAGAATCCGAAAGTCAGGTAAGCAGGCTCTGGTTACACCATGTTTGGGGTTGACCCCTCCCAGCCGCAATAGCAGCGCCAGTAGTTGCATGTATAGTGTAGATCGAGGTAGTGTAGCAGGATTGGGAGGAGCAGAGGAGTAGCAGTAGCTTTACCTTAGTCATTTGGTATGCTAACAGATGAATTAAACGAGACTTTCTGCGACTGCACGATCTACTGCTGGCATATATAACGCATAGCGGGTTTAGGGGTTTAGGGGTTTAGGGGTTAGGGGTTTAGGGGTTTAGGGGTTTAGGGGGTTATAAGGGGGTTAGGGTTCATGGTTTAGGGGTTTTGGGGTTTAGGGGTTTAGGGTTTAGGGGTTTAGGGGTTAGGGGTTTAGGGGTTTAGGGGTTTAGGGGTTTAGGGGTTTAGGGTCTAGGGTTTAGGGGTTTAGGGGTTTATCTATGTGCACATAGTCTGTGCGTGTGCCGGTCTATATGTATTTCTACACCTTCATACAGCCAGCCCTTAGAGAAAGCATGAGGGATGGGCAGCTTTAGAGAAAAACATATTGTATTTGTGCTGTATACCTTAAGAACCTTTACATGGACATATGGGACGGAAACTTGTTATATTAACATATGTAGGTACACGAGCGGCATGTAGAAATGCACGGGTCTGCATGACGTCTACATCTCTGAACACAAAACTTATTGTGGCTTTATAGCATGGCTTTAAAGCATGATTCTGTTTTCCTTCCTATACGAGCAGTCATGCAGCCAAGCCATTAGCGTCTTCATGATCGCCCCACAATCACCGCCATTGATCGTTGTCACCGACCATCTACACCGATCTCCATCATCATCACCATATCATCACCCGTCATCATCTATATTATCATCTTTCATGTCAAGGCCCGAGTCCACACCCAGCAGGAGCCGATCATTGTCACGTCGGCGGCGCTCGCCAGGTTCGACGCGGTCCTTCGCCGGCTTTGCTGCCCGAAGAATAAGGGCAAGAAGGCTCCTAAAGTTCTGGTGCCAGATGATGTAAAGAAGCAGTGGAGCAAGGGCGGAACAGCTAGAACCGAGCTACTTCAAATCATGGTGGAGCTCCAGGGCGACAAGGACCCCTTACACAAGTAAGTCTGCCAATATAATTTGTGATTTGTGCAGTGGCCAGTATCATTTATCTGCCGTCAGAATCCTGTGCCAATCATTATAGGAGGCTTTCGTGCAGAAGGCTGAGCTGATCATCGAGACCCGTCGGGATGTGAAACTCAAAGTGGAAGCTGGGTGGTACTCAGAACGTGCTATGGCCAAACAGCTGGAGTGGACACCGTGCCTTGGAATCTCTCAAATTAATGTACACTAGAACATATCCACCCTCCAATTGTCGGCCGGGACTCAGGGCGCGAATTCGCGCTGCGAAGGCCTATTGCACGGCCACTACTGAGAGGCGCAAGGCCCTTACAAGGTCGATCGGGACTTATATAAATTACGCGGGGCACATGTGGGAACCGTGATACTACCCGACTGCATGCATCTCCCAATTGTGCAGGGTCGACAAATACGAAAAGGACGTCAAGGAGTATTGGGTGGACACGAAGACAACGGGTGAGATCACGAGAACTATGTCAGAGACCACCATCAGGCGCTTCGAAGTCAGGGACGTTGAAATGCCGTTGCCGGCGCCGCTGGTAGGCAAGAGCCCACAGCCGTTTCTGCCAGACGACGAGGAAGCGTACTACGAGGATCAGGAGGAAGGCAGCGAGGAAGAGGAGGGCAAGGAGGAGGGAACCGACAGTAAATCCAAGCAGAGCAAAGCTTTGCGGAAACGAAAGGAGAAGGATGCTAGGAATGCTGCGACCGAAGCTGAGGAGGACGAGCTAGTGGTCATCACACACCGTATTCTTATATAGATTCGAAATCCAAGTCTTAACTCCGAATCCATTGGGACCAACCATGAACAGAGGGCTTAGATTTTGGATTCTTTCAAACTTAAGTCAACAGCCCCAGAATCCTAAACCCCCGTAGCCCGAAACTTTAAGATCTCACCCCAAACCTTAGCCCGAGATCTGACCCCATGTTGAAGGACATGTCCACTGTGGCCAACACCCTCAAGGAGATCCTTAAAAACCAGAACCGGGCGATGGTCTTGGTCGACCAGGTGAAGGATACCGTGCAGAAGGACAATGGCGAGTGCTCCGACATATATGTATATATATATATATATGCCTGGAGCGAACCCCGTTCCCTCAATAAACACCCACCGAACCAACCAAGGACGACCAAGCTCGAGCAGCACGCAAACAAACTTATGACACTTCACGATGAAATCGCTGATATAAAGGCGAACTTTACGGTCAAGAAGGATCAGGAGCTACCAGGCAGCACCAAGCAAATGCAAGCAAAGGTTCTTGATTGTGCTTTAAATCTCATATCCTAGGGCAGCCACTAGCTTGAAGCGCAAGTTCAGCGAAGTGGAAGTCGAGCGCCCTGTCGGAACTTATGCATGCGCCTGTGCCCAGCCTCCATGATGCATCATGTGCTGGCCGCAATCGTCCGCCAGCGAATAGATCGAGGAACCTCGGATGCCACCCAACCAAGGTGCAGCAAGATGGTCATGGAGGAGAACAAAGTCAGACGGTCCTGGTCGTATTATTTCTGTATGCGCATACATAACAGAGTGTGGGTGTTGAGTCGTGATTCGCACATATGCACTACCGAGGCTTTATCTTCGCAAGGCTGCTGGCAAAGCAAAGGCAAAGGCGAATCCCAAGCGCACAAGGCGTGTCGCACCGGGAAATGAGCATGATGATGATGATGATCTTGAGGGGGAGGAATCTGAAGAAGGCGAGAAGCCAGTGCCGAAGCCGAAGGCTAAGGCAAAAGCCAAGCCGGTTTGCAAAGCAAAGGCCAAGGCTAAGGGCAAAAACAATCGTAAGTGAGCTATTGATCTAGGGATATGAGATTTGCAGTTCTCTCTGAACCCCTAAGCTCCAAACGTCAACTTATGCAGATCATGATGCTCACTTGCTGGAAGGCATGAAGTTCTGCTTCAGTTCGCACTGTGTTAAACTCGATGCAGTGCAAGGTTTGGCCGTGAAGTGTCGGTCTGGGTTCCGTGTGCGCAATCGAACCCCCCATACTACCTTAAACCCTAAACCCTATTTAAGCACAGAACGTAGCTCAATTTGTGATTCCAGGAAGGGGTCGGCTGCGCACTGCGAGTTCAATTCGGGGCTCTCTCGGACGCAGGGCCTAGAGTCGCGCCGCTGCAGATCGAGATGCAAAGCTGTGGCCTGTGCTATATAGTGACCATAATAAGCCCTAATCCTGAGGGACCCAAGGCTCCGAATTACCTTACCCCGTAAAAATATGATCATACACAACCTGAGCCCCTATCGAGGTCTTGCGATCAGTAGCGGAACATCGTTCACAAGCTGAACCATTAAGCTTAATCTGCTCGCATGTATACCGAAGCTAAGCCGGAAGTCCCCATGCAATCGCGATGCATTAAGACGGCCGATCTCTAGGCTGAAAGTATATAGAGTCCCCAAACTCCAAACTCCCGAAGATTAGCCGGGAGTCATACCAAAAAGCTACGCTTCAGAAGTCTGGCTACGATCTTGCAATAACCGAAGCTCTTCCTTTGACACACCGCCCAGAACCCCAAAGGCCTCCCAAGGATGGTCCTAACACAAATCTGCATTAAACTAGAAAGTCCCCTTAGCCCAAAGGCTTCAACTTCATAAATGCAATCATTGTAGGTTTTCTGCCTCGACTGCATGAACATGCCTGCAGATCATGAATGGCCTTTGCCTTATGTATATACATTGAACGATCCATGTGTGGTTACCGTGCTTTTCAATCTGATTCACCAAATTGACGTTGCTCTCCCTCTCTCTCTCTCTCTCTCTCTCTTCCCACCTATCCCTCTCCGTCCCCCATTCTCTTTCTCGATCGTTCTTCTCTATCTCTGTCTCTCTTTCTCTCTCCTCTCTGATCTTTTCTCTCGCTCTCTCTCTCTCTCTCTCTCTCTCTCTGTCTATCTCTGAGTGTTTATTTGGGTCACCTAAATTTTAGGTGACCGACTCTGAGTGTTTATTTGGGTCACCTAAATTTTAGGTGACCGATGCTTACCCGTTTCGCTACCCATCTGCGTCCTTAACCTGTGTCCCGTTTCTCCCTCTCTCTCTCTCTCTCTCTCTCTCTCTCTCTCTCTCTCTCTCTCTCCCTCTCTCCCTCTCCCTAGCTCACTCTCTCGTCTCTCTATTATACATCTCCTGATCATAAATATGTTGTGTACATAAAACCTCTATAGCCACGAAGCTTCGAATTTCCAGAAGGCTTAAGCTGTCATAACCCGCCCAAAGATCAACCAACGCCACAGCGGCGCAGCGGCAGGTACTGAGAATCGAGATCGAGTCCACGCTGGACCAGCTGCAAATGCCTTGGCACGGGCAAGTGCTGCTGGCGTGGCGGAGCACGAATAATAGATCGATCGGGCTTAGTCTTAGGGTTTGGGTTTAGGGTTTGGATCGAGTTTTGGGTTTAGGCTTAGGGCGCGGGTTAGGGTTTGGGGTTTCGGCTTTGGGTTTTGATTGGTACACTTCTCGATTTGGGTTTAGGGTTCACGGTTTATGGGTCTTTGGGATTCGATATTGGTTGGTCTGGCGTAGGCAGCTATACTTGACAATTGTTTGCAATGCGCCCCCCAGGTTTCTGACCGGATGGTTTGTGACATCGCTGCAGGCTTTTGGCAGGAGCATACGAATGCTAATCCTGATGCTGATCTGGAGAGCTCGGACTTATTGCGCCGGTTGCATCGGAAGCGCAAAACAAAGCATGAAAACACTACTTCGAAAATCCTGAAAGATATGGGCCTTTCGTGCCCGATGCCTATGGACGAAATCGAAGTGGGTGGAGATCGTTATCCGTGTTTTCGGGTTGAATCATACCTTCGAGTATTCAGTCTGCATAACAAGCTATCTCTATTGCTCGGCCACGTGGATGACTTCAGCCTGGTGGAAGAGTACTGGAAGAGATACAAGGCTATAGACCCAGAGCATCCTACATTTTCTTACCATGACGGCCGTGAAAAGTTTGTGATTCCTTGCTACATTCATAGCGATGAGGGCCGCACCCTGAAAAAAAGCAGCATTATGGTTTGCAACCTGCAGCCAGTGCTTGGCAGCAACCCCGACCCTGATTATGATTCGAGTGAGCTGCACACGAACATGAAATTCACTACCTGGGCTACGAGGCTCCTGCTGTTTGTCATGCTGAAACAAGCTTACAAGAAAAATGACAGGCCGCTGTATGCTGCATGGGAAAGCGTCGCTGCCGAGTTGGTGCGTTTGTTTGAGGAGGGGTGCACCCTAGTGGTTCGCAATGTTCGCATCACGATCTATGTTTGTGTGGTCGCGGCCAAGGGAGACTGGCCGCTGCTCGCTAAATTAGGACGGCTGGCACGATTTTTTGGCAGGAAATCTTCTGCTGCGAATGCTCAAGGTATTTGTCATCTTTGCTATGCTGGACGACCCTCACACCCGTACCACGACTACACTGAAACGGCTACGTGGCGGGCCACGTACCTGCAGCATCAGCCCCACAAACCGACTTTCGTGCCGCCCTTCTCAGTCCTGCCACAACACTCCGCTTTGTGGTACCGGTACGACATTTTTCATACGTGTCACAAGGGGATCTTCGCGGAATTGGCTGGCAGTGCCATTGTGGCATTGCTACATTTGACCGGTTAAACCCTAAACCCTACCCTAAACCTTATACCCTAAAAATTTTAGCTGTCCAAAGTTTTGGTTTCGGCTTACGGGGTCTATGGGTGTCGGGCGATTTGTATACAGGATATATACCCTATTAATAGTAACATTCCTATTAGTTTCTTATTCAGGTGGCCCTGATGGATCTTGGCTGGGCAGGCCTCGGTGACGTTCCGGCTCAGTTGGAGTCGCTCTACAATGACTTGGCCAAGTACTGTCAGGACAACTCCCTGCCACTACACATGTCTGGGCTGACCAGAACTTTGCTAGCTTTTTCGAAGGATGCCGACTATCCTTGTGGGTGACGTGTTCTGATTTGATTTGTTTTTTCTGGCTTTGCAGTATATGTACTTCTGCTTATTAAAACTGCTATGTTGTTCGAGAGTATATGGGGTCTGGACCGTATAGATCGCTTTAACTGTGTCTGTGCTGGAGGTCGACCATTAGTTATAAGGACTCATATGGCGATGATTCATCAGGGTGTATAATTGCTTAATTACTATCGTAATATAGGGATTTCGAAAGATTGGGACAGCCGAGGGCTTGGTTCAAGGGTGCAGATACTGCCGCAGTATGTCGCTGGTTGGAAACGGTTTATGCCAATCGCATTGCCGAGCAGCAAAATCCGAGTGCATATCTGATCGCCATCCACGGCGCCTTGCGGGTATCAAACCAACTGATGCACATGTTGTACAGGCATGGCCTCTTTGTGAGCCGTGCGAATGGGAACGTCATTGTGTCGACAGGTTACCAATTCCTCAACCTCTACTTCACTGCTGCGTACGAAGCACTGCAGCAGCGCAAGACCCGGTTCAAGCTTACTCCAAAATATCACGCGCTCACCGAGATCATCGACTACGTCAGACGTGAGCTCATGGTTACTCCACACGCAAGCTGGGTAATTAATCCCGTCACATATTCATGCCAGAGTGACGAAGACTTCGTTGGAAAGGTTTCGGCCTTGTCGACGGCAGTCGCACGCAGGTCGTGCCACACGCAGGTGTTGGCGAGGTATGCCATTCAGCTCTGGCAGCACTGGGACAGCTAGATCGGTGTGGTAATAGTAAAGACCAGCATTTGTACGCTATAGGCTCGTATGTGCTGATCAATTCTGCAGTGGCTGTTCAAGTGCTACATAGCATATGCTCTGATGCGTGATCGGTCGAAGCCGAGAGAGATGGGTGGCGAAAAGGCGTCTTCTTCGCATGGGTGTATTTGAGATCACACCCTTAAGTAGCAGTTTAAGCCGAGAAGCCAGTCCCAAACCCAACAAAGCATTAAAACACCCATACCCAAAAAACCAAAAAATGCCACTAGCAAAGAAAAACTGCCACTTTCGGCAGTTGCCGCATTTTTCAAGCAACTAGGTTTCCAAGGTAAATACGACCTCAGCCATCCCAAGATCCGGCAAAGCTACCTGGACCGGATCGCTAGCAAAGAGTTCCATGCCGTGGTTCTCTCCCCGCCATGTGCTAGTTTCTCCAGGGCGCCTTGGGCTAACTTCCAAGGGCCCCGCCCGGTGCGCAGCTACGAGTTTCCCCGAGGCCTGGAGACGCTAACACCTGCAGAGCGCGATCGAGCTATACTAGGCAACATTTTTGCGGATTTCAGCTTTGAGGTCGCTAATCTCGTGGCCGATGGTGCAGCTACCTTCCTGGCCATGGAA